AGTGGTAAGACGAGATTAGGCAGACCAGGGGACCAGCACAGGTGAGGGCCAAGCTGAAATTTGAAGTCAAACTAAGGTTAGGGCATCTGTTGTAACCAGTCCTGGAAAGCTAAGAAGGCGATGTCCAAGTGGGTGCCAGCTGCTGATTCTCAGTCAAAGAAGACAATCCTTCAGGAAATGTCTTCTGGAGAGTGGTCCCCAACCTTTTTGGCACCAGGGACCAGTTTTGTGGAAAACAATTTTTCCTTGAATCAGGGTGGGGCAATGGTTTGGCATGATTGAAGCACATTACATTTATTGTGTATTTTATTTCTATATTATTGCATTGTAATATATAATGAAATAATTATGCAACTCACTGTAATGTAGAATCAGTTTGAGCCCTGAGCTTGTTTTCCTGCAACTACATGGTTTCATCTGGGGGTGATGGGAGACAGAGAGAGAGCATCCTGCATTAGATTTTCATAAGGAGCGTGCAACCTAGATCCCTCACATGCGCGGTTCACAACCGGGTTCAAGGACCTATGAGAATCTAATGCCACCACTGATCTGACAGGAGGTGGAGCTCAGGTGGAAATGCTGTCTTGTCCTCTACTCACCTCCTGCTGTGCGGCCTGGTTCTTAATGGGCCACGGACCGATCTGTGGCCTGAAGGCTGGAGACTCATGTTCTGGAGGACCTGAGATGTTTCCTGGAGCACTTGAGAATTATCGTTTACTCTCAAGAGGAATTGGGATGCCACATCATTGTTTCTCAAAGTGTGTTCTATGGAACCCTACTCTCTAGCCATTCATGAGGATTGTACAAGAAGCTCAGACTCCGGTTATACCAGCTTAGGACACATAGAATTAAAGAAAAATTCTGTGGGGCTTCCTCACATCTTTAGTATGCTGCTGTCACTGGGAGTCACTGTGGTAGGGAAGTGATGTGTAGGGTTCCCCAACTCATAGGACCAGGGAATCCTATGTGCAAGGAACCTCTCTCTATGGGTTTGTTTCGCAGACATAAATTGAGGAATTTACATGTAGATCAATGAAATTTATGCTGATTTATGTACCCCTTCCAACCCCACCCGAAACATTCCTGACCTTTCCATTTTGAAAAGAGATTGGTAAATGTAGCCAGCAAACTTCTCCCCTGCTGACATTTGTTCTTCCATATTCCAGAGCAAGGAGATTGGCCTGCAGATGCACGAGGAGCTCCTGAAGGTGACCAACGAGCTCTACACAGTAAGTTCTGCCCAGGCTCACTACTGTTTTGGGATTGGGTCTTCTGTCTTCATCACCAGAGCTAGAGGGAGGCAAAACAGAGGTCTGTAATGACCCCGGGCCTTTTTTGCTGTGTTTTATGCTGAGTGACAGTGGGTCATCATGTCAGGATGTAATGACTCACAGCCTCAGCTTCTGATTCTGTACATCTGGGGTAGGGCCTGGGCTTGTCTGGTTTGTCAAAGTTCACGAGAGATTCAAGCGACCTGCAGCTGTGGATGTGTTACCTGCAAGAACAGAGGGCACAAAGTCAAGGCCATGAGAGTGTGAGTGTGAAGGCTCCTGAAGGCGGGGATGTAGGTTTTGGAGTCAGGCAGCACAGGCTCCAGTGGAGGCCCTTCCTTACCGGCTGCGGGACCATAGGCAGGTGGGCAGTTTGTCTGGGTCTCAGTATTTGCATCTGCAAAATGGAGCACGGCTCCGAGGATCACGTGAGGCTATGGGGTGAGCCTGCCTTGCCATCTCCAAGGCATAATTTCAGAACATCACAGTGTGGTCCACAGCTGACCTTGTTACCTGTTTGGAGTCAGTATCTAACTGTGCTTGAGATGAGTTTTAGAATCCAAGAAGGTGAGTGAATGGGGACACAAACACATGAAGCGATGATGCAGGGACTTTCAGACTGTGCTCTGGGGAGCCTACGGCTTCCTCGAGAGGAGTGTGGGGACTCCATGGAGAGGTGTGGGGAGTGGGGTGGGTAGACCCAGCAGGTAGAGCTCCAGGCCCCTCAACCCTACCCCAATCAGAACAGTGGAGAATGGTTATGTTTTAAATAGATAGGTGCCCTATATAGCATTTCATGAAAAGTGTGTTTGTGTATTGGGGAGAATCTGCTGCTAAAATTGAATTTGAAATCCCTGGTATGAGGAGAAAGAACAGCAGGCTGTGAGAAGCCCCTTCTGTTCAGTTTTATTATCTTTCTATGTTTATATCCTGTGTGGCCAGCAGGTGGTAAATTTTTCAGAGGCACTGAGAGCCTTTGTGGGAGGGCCTGGACCTCAGGTCAGAAAGCCTGCCTCAGATCCCAGCAAGCTACGGAACTCTAGGCAAGGCATTATTTTTCCTGGGTCTCAGTCTCCCAATCAGTAAAACAGGGGTGAGAGTTCTTAGGTAAAAGTTGAAACTTTTAATTCTGTGATTCCAAATTAAGGAGCAAAACTTGAGCTGTAGATAGTTTTTACTTGGGTCATTCTTAGGGTAAAGGAAGAATTGCTGCTTGAGAATACATATTGCTTTGCATCAGCTGGTGCAAAAGCAGCTGGGGGGCAGAACAGCCTGTTGGGTTAAGGCACAGATTCTGAAGCTGGAGATCTGGGTTCAAATCCAGGTGTTAAGTAGAAATACTAGTACCTGCTTAGTGCACATCCTTGTGACAATTAAAGGAGATCCTATATGCGATGCATGCTCAGAACAAAGAGAAAAGAAGAGCATTCTGTATCAGAAGTTCTGAGCATCACTATCATCATCATCACCATCATTGGCTCCTCCTTGATGGCTGTGAAGTAGGCTGTTGTACATACTCACGGTGGGGGGAAGGGTGGTGATAAATAATGCAAGCCTGGTAACTGAATGGGATTGTCCTGCTTAGAATTCTGCAGCGAATTTGGCTAGACCAGGTGCTCCCCAGTCTAAGTCCTTTTTATGTTCCTCAGGCTCCACTTTGGGTCACTTTCCTCCACAATGGCAAAACAACTTAGCCCCAATGTCCTGGGACCCCCCAGTCATCCCCATCTAGGTCTCTAACTTTTGCTGTGACCTCCAGCAGGGCTCCTCTTCTTGGTGCCCTCTATTTACACCAAATACCTTCCCCCTCTGCTGCTTTTCCTCTGCAGTCCCTGCTGTCTATACCTACCTGTTAGTGTCATGCTTATTTTTCAAACTCAGACCAAACCCCACCACCTTCAGAATGTTGTTACCTCTCGGCTTCAAGTTCCTATGGCAGATGTACCAAAATCTCTTGTATCTTTATTGTCTATATCCCGTCTTCCAACATGTTGGAGTGTGAACTCCCCGGGAGTCAGGTCTTGGCTGAGAAACACTGCTTGAAAGGCCCAAAGGCTCCATTTGAACCCAACTGTGTGGCCTTGAGCAAGTCCCTTCACTTGTCGGTTTCACCTGTGACAAACGGGACTGGTCATCTTTCTGTGGTTTGTAGACTGGACAAGGCCAGGTGGTGGTCAGAGATCAGGAGGACAGTGTCATCTCTCTGTGTCCTTCGAGGTCCCAGTGCCCAGCACAGTGGCCTGAATCCAGCAGGTGCTCCATGCACACCTCCCTGTGCTGGCTGCAGGGCAGGATGGCTGGACGGAAATGCCGCTGGTATTGGAGACACAGGCCAGGCAGGATGGCTGAGGCCCCAGCAGGATGAGCCATGCCTTGCCATTTCCACAGCAGCCTGGTGAGGGTCACCAGGAGCTAGTGGAGGAGGAAGGGTCCCCAGCATTCTCCTTTGGCTGCACGTGGAAGAGTGGGATCCTCATGGTGCCAGCACACCCCCCGTGAAGATCATTTGTTGACTACACCCAGAGTCTTCAGTAGTTACTCAGAAACTCAGTTAAATTCACGCATTTGGGTCCACATGCTGTGGGCCCAGAGCTGCAGTAGGGCACAGTAGGGGATCGTGAACATTTCACAGTCTGCCTCTGTCAGAGTCTTGTACATCCTTGGTGCTTCCAGTGTGCTCCTTGAAGCAAAGGAGGGAGGAGGGAGGGATGAAAAACATGAAAGAAACTGGTCTTACTCCTAAGGAGTTTGGAATCTGGGCAGAGAGATAAGAGTAGTGTGTGATCCACCAGGGCCTGTCGGGGTGGGGGACTGGGAGAAGGATAGCATTAGGAGAAATACCTAATGTAAATGATGAGTTGATGGGTGTAGTAAACCAACATGGCACATGTATACCTATGTAACAAACCTGCACGTTATGCACATGTACCCTAGAAATTAAAGTATAATAATAATAATTTTAAAAAAGAGTAGTATGTGAACTGTTGATACAACATAAGTCAGAGCCTAGTATGTGCTGGACACATGGGCTCACAGGGGAGGTACCTCTGGGCTTGGCTGTGTAACTTGCCCATGAGCTCTGTGGGGCTGGACCTTGTTCCCCACAGTGTGCCCAGAGCCCCTTTCCAGCCATGCACACACATAGGAGGAGATGGGTGTGTATTAGTTGAGGGAGATGCACATGTGTGAGAGATGGATTGAGAGGAGGAGGGAGGGAGGGAGGGAGAACAAGAAGAAAAAAGATTCAGAAAAGTGGGCTACTGTGTTCCAGGGTGAGCTTTGAGCTTGGTGCCTTTGGATGGGTAGGAATTAAAGAAGCAGAGGGAATGAGAGGAAGAGAGAGGGAGTTCTCAACAGGGAAGGCAACGCAGGATCACAGCAGTGCACACTGATCACAGACAGACCTGGGTTTGAATTCCTGCTGTACCACTTACCAACTCGGCCAAGTCAATTAACCTCGTTGACTTTCCTTCTCTTTGTTGCCAAACAGGGATGATCCTAACATCTGTAACCACTTCTTGAGTGCTTATGATGCATCTCACTCTGTATTAGGTATTGGATATATATTATTTAATTAACACTCTTACATTTTTACAGATAAAGAAATGGAGGCATAGGGAAGTGACTTACTTAAAGCCTTTGTATCAGTTATCAGTTGCTGCATAACAAACTACCTCAAAACTCAGTGACTTAGAACAACCACCATTTTCTGTGCTCATAATTCTGTGGGTCAGCAATTTGGGCAGGGTTCAATTGGGGCCACTCATGTGGTTGCAGTTTTCTGGTCAATTAAAAAAAGAAAAAGAGTCCAAAGTGAGCAAACCCCAATGTGCAAGCACTTTTCAAGCTTCTACTTGTGTCATATTTGCTAATATCCCATTGGCCAAAGCAAGTTACACAGCCAAGCACAGAGTTCTGGGTTAGAAAAGCAAGCCCCCCTCCCCTTGCAGAGTCACAATGCGAAGGGCCATGCCTGCAGCCATGCCAGTAATGATCACAGTCCTCTTTGCAAACAGTTCACTCCAGCCACCCAGCTGCTGGCGGCACTATGTGTCCCAAATTCATGCTTCATTGCTAGGGATTTCTTTTGAGCACTTTCTAGTTACCATGTCTGGTTATACAAGTCTACAGTCCCCCTCCTCCCTCAGCCCCAGGGTCATTACCACAGTCACTGAGGAACAAATAATGCAGAGAAAGGATTTTCCAGTAAGCTCCGCTTTTTTTCTTCTTGAAGTTCTGTAAGGGAGGTGGTGGTGGTCTGTTCAGGGGGTCCTACAGGTGTAATGATGGCGGAGATAAATGCTAAAGGCCACCCATCACTTGCTTTAGAGAAAAGGCTTATCTCTCTCTGGGGCTAGGAAGGATGCAGAGGAGACTACAAGTCTGGGTATTTTGTTCATTCATTCATTCATTCACTCAATAAGCCTAGTCCTTATCACCCAGTCCTTATCTGCTCAGTCCTTAGCACCTTGAGGCTCCCTCCTTTCTAAAGCATGCTAGCATGAGTGTTTGTGCACACATGTGCACACATACACATTTGCATACATGCACGTGCAGTTTGGCATGGACCACACAGTAGCACATATGCACATTCACATGCATGCATGTACATACACATACATGCAAGCATGCACACACATGTATCCCACTCCACTTCTTTTCGAACTCCCATCAGCCTGACGCAATATAGCTTTCATTCATGTATTGGCCTGGGAGAGAAAAAGGGCAGAGGTGAAGAATGTGGACCAGTATGGCAATCCTTCTAGAAGAGGCAAATCAAAACAAAACAACTCACAAACTATAAACTCCACTGTGTTTTCACTATTTGGCTAAAAATGTGTTCAGATTTTCAGTATATCTCTAGATTATGAAATACATATGTGTCAGTAACTGGTGAACATCCAGCATCCCCCCACCTATCTCTTCCTCTGTGTTCAGCAGCTCTGCTGCAAGCTGTG